AGAAGAGAAGGACTCATCTCACTATCTAGTTTAAGTGAAACCCAGGAAAGGTCCATAGCCAACAAGTCGGCATATATATCAATCGATCAACCATGCACTCTGCAGAGGTTTTATATAACCACAAGATCCGCCTTCCTCGCTGACCGTATCAACTTGGCTGATTCCGGCCGCTTGCTAGCCTAGGATAATGCCACTCTACCATTCAGCCCTGGTACACCCCAAGTCTAGTCTGGGGTGGCTGAAACTGTGAGTCATGAGCTGGGTCCACAAGGTCTCCATGAAGTCTTGGAAGGGTGTGGGGGGAATCCTCCGCGCCCCGTACCTCCTCGCACTGTCCGCTATCAACCTAGCAGTAGTGGTAATATCCTACCAAGTAGTCCGGCCGTCCCACACACAGAGATAGGGGTGAGTGGTACGTAAGACTTCCTGGTGAATCTGAGTACTAGTAAGTCCTTAGGGATGACCAAGCCAGAATGTCTTCATTAGGGTTTCCATTTATCGTGCCACCACAGCATCTCCACCCCGGGCTCCTCCCATCACAGGTTCACACCTAGGGCCACCTCATATACCATTTACTCACCACAGGTATCCATTTCCAGGGGTGCCCAGGTAGCACCCCGCGGCATGACTTGCCCCAGGCTCATCATATATTCCAACTTGGTCGACACAACCCTCACCCTCCATGCACCCAAGTCACACACGCAACACTCTCCCCATAGTCCAGATAACACCAGTTTCCACCACGCATCAATGTAGTACAAGCGTAGTAGAAGTAATAATCAATGAAATATAGCAGCAAGCATGTGTCTAGCCTAATAGCAGGGTAAGCAGGGGTAAGGTTGTGTCAAGGTAAAGGCCATCAAGTAAGCATACTACCATGCAAGTTCTATCATAGTGTGAATATAACAATAAAGTAAAGCAATAGCAGTTCTTTATTAGCCATGCATAATAGGTGCTACGAGGTTGGGTGGGATGTGGCACCTTCAGTGAAGTCGTCCCCGCACTCCTCACGGTACTCACGATCCTCGTCCGTCTGGTTCTCCTCCGACTCTGCATACGATCGAATTATAGTCGCATTAGCGGCGTCTATAGAATAGCACAAAGAGGCAATGAAAATTCAAAAGAGCCAAATGCACTCAAACATGGGTTAATTGCGTAGAGCTCGATTTTAGATGAATTTTGGTCCCGGTTTTATATTTTTCTAAGGTCGTATGAATTAGTTATGAATTTCTGAAGATTAAATCCATTTTTGAAAATAATAAAGGCTGATTAATTCAGGGCTGACACGTGTCACACTATGACTGGTTTATGTGGCATGTAGGGACTTGGAGTGGTGTATCAGCTGGTGAGGTGGTCGGAGAGGTCACCGAGGTGGTCGGAAAGCTCACCGAGGTGGTCGGAGAGATCGCCGAGGTGGTCGGAGAGGTCGCCGAGGTGGTCGGAGAGGTCGCCGAGGTGGTCGGAGAGGTTGCCGAGGTGGTCGGAGAGGTCACCGAGGTGGTCGGAGAGATCACCGAAGTGGTCGGAGAGATCGCCGAAGTCCCCGACGCTGGCGTGGTCACATCATCGGCATGATGTCAGTATGGCGTCATCAGAGCTAAACCGCGGCTAACAGGTGGGTCCCGCTGACGTCAGCATGTCATCATCATCTTGGTTGGTCACTGATAGGTGGGTTCGGGGTCAAACGGTGACTGATAGGTGAGGTGCGGTTCATGGTGAACCCACTGCGTTGGTCCATAGACTGCAGAGCCGGTCTATGAAGGATTTGGTCCACTTACTCCTTCCCATGGTTCGGTCCACATGCACCAAGTGCACGGACGTGTGGCCGGCGAGGGGAAAATCCCCTTCTCTTCCCCGATGGGGCTCCCACCGACGGTGAGGTCATCGGCAAGCCACCGTGGTGGTGCTATCGTCCATTTAGGGTAGGCAATAGCTTCCCCATGCCATGGAGACTGCGACGGTGGGGTCGGGGCGATGGCTAGGGCTTCCTAGGGCTCTGGCCATGGTAAACGGTGTCTCGGAGTGGTGGTACTCATCGGTGAGGCATGTAGGGGCAACTCCAGGGGTCCTGGTGCCCCGTCTTCCTTCAATCAGTTAGCGGGGAGGCATAGAGTAGCGTCAACGACGACCATAAGGCGCGGTGGAGTCCGCACGCGGTGGTGGTGCACGGTGGAGCTCCGCCTGAGGTCCGGTGCAAGTGGCCAAGGCGCTGCGGCCAACTAACGGCTTCTTGGTCTATACGGCTATCATCCAGGTGTCACGGCGGTGCTCTACAGCGGCAGGGTGATGTGGTGGCTGGGAGCATGCTTGGCGGGGCGCGTGAGCTTCCCGTGGCTCTAATGAACAGGGCGGGCAAGACAAGGAGGCGCCAGGCACTCCCAGCGGTCCTGGCCACGGTGGAGTCGAAGCGGTTGTGGCGGCGCTCTAGCCGCGGCATGGTGTGGTCAAACGGGGGTCCTCCGGTGGCCTTCGTCTACCTCGATCGCGAGCGTGGCGTGTTCCATGGCGAGGAGGAGCCAGCCAAGGTGGTGGCGTCACCTCTACCGCGGTGATGCGGCCGCGGTGGTTTCGCCACGGCCGTGTTTGTGGCTGCGGTGTGCGCGCCCGTGCGTGCTCGCGTGCGTGCTCATGTGCATGCTCGACGTCCATGGGGCTAGGAGGAGGTCTCAGCCAAGGTGATCACCGCGGTGTGCTTGGCGGTGCGGAGTGGCGGTGTGGTGATGACGGCGCGGCCGTGTAGCGGTGGAAGCCGCGTCGTTGGAGTAGGTGCTTGGGGCGGCGCTCCGAGCTTCGGTGGTCGATGACTCCGAGCTCCCTGCTTGCCTCCCTCCTCCGGGTCCTCCTCTCGGCCCTCTTCTCTTAGAGTGGTGCGGCAATTGGGCCACCGAACAGCGGCGGTGGGCTGAGGAACCCTAGGGCACTCTGGGTCCACCCTTTTATAGGCCGAGCTCCATGCACATCCATGGCGGATGGCGGAACGGCTGGTGATGCGCCGAGCGCATCGGGCGGCTCTCGCGTGCGGGGGCGGTTGCGTGGGCGCGGCGCTAAGGTGGGGGACAGGGTCATGCGATGTGCGTGACCCTAAGCCCGCGCCTGCTCCGCGGTCGGCTCTCGATCGCATGGTGGAGGGAGCGTGGGGAAGACGACGACGCTGTAGCTGGGCGGCTGACAGAGGGGGCCTGTTTGTCAGCTTGTCCTGAAGCGGCGGCGTGCGGTGCGTGACGGCTGACGAGCGGGTCCGGCTCGTTAGCGGCTTGTGCGCGCGTGGGCGGTAGGGTGTTGCTGGGCCGGCTTCGTGGGCCACGTGCGCGAGTGGGAGGGCAGGCGGGCTCGGCCAAGCTGGCTCGCAAGGCCGAGCAGGCCTGGGCTGCTGCGGCTCCCTTCTTTTCCTTTTCTTCTTCTGTTTGTTTCTCTTTTCTTTCTTTTGCTTCGATTCAAATTTAGTTAGAGTTTAAACTTGAGCTTCGAGTTATGTAGTGGGTCCCACAAGGTGTTTCAAGTGGTGGTCAAAATACATCCCATATATTAGAGATTATTGGCTATTTTTGTTATACAAAAATAGTTGAAGTTTTTATATAGGGGTGTTTTATTCTTCCAACAAATAATTCTTTATTTAGGGTTTATCATAAATATTAAGTAAGTTAGTTAAACATCACATAAAGCAAAAGAATCCAAATCACAAGTGGAATTAGGGATGCATGCATGATTTGTTTATTTAGGAGTTTAATTACACATGTGGCATAAAACCAAGCTATGCTTATGATTTTAACCTAGTTGGGTCACATCTAATCCAAAACTAGGGTTTGGCTTCTACATGTGTCACTCAACATCACATAGGGTTTAAACAAAAATTTTGTAGTTGTGATTTTTGGTGTGTGGATTTTTGGTTGTTACAGGTACTGCTGTTGTGCCTGCTTGTTGCCTGCGGCGGCGGCTGACGGGAGTGCTTGCAGCTACTCTTCGACCAACCCGCCGGCGCCGCCGTAGGGAAGCAGGCACCCGGCGATTCAAGATTGGAGAAGTGAGGAGGAGACAGACGGTGGTGAAGACGAAGGGAGGAGCATAGCGTGAAGTCCGATGGCCCTGGATGCGTGAAGTCCGGCGGCCCTGGATTCGCAAGCGCGGCGACCAAAGAAGGGGAGCGGACAACGGAGAAGCAGGGCACGAGGCCACGAGCGGAGGAGCAAAGCGGGGAGGTGACGGGCGGTGACGAGAATGCACGCGAGGGCTTGGCCAAGCCTGGCTAGCGAAAAACGGATCTCAATCTCGTTTTTCTGGAGCCAGACTAGGGCCTCCAAAGTGGCTTAGTTGGGCCTGGCTTAGAGCTATTTATAGGCAACCAAACAGCTCAAAGTTGGCTTCGTGGAGCCTGGTTTGAGGTTAGCCACCCAACCAAATAGGTCATACGTAGCTCTGCCCCTGCAGATGGCCTTTCTCTCTTGTATGTAAGCTTAAAGGTTTTAGGGAGATTGCAGGAGTTTGAGATCTCCAAACATTAAATCCACCCTTTCAATCTGAACGAAGAATAACGTATTCCCTGATGCCGGCTCTTCTTCCTTGGAAAAATTGAGTGTTTTTTAATGGTCATGTACCAAATAGGGATTTCCAAAGGAAATGATTGATTAAAAAAGAAAATTATAAGTCGTTCTGACTTCTCTACATACAAATTTTTTATAATGTATGTAGACATAGACAATATCTATGTGCATAACAAAACAATATATTTTAAAAAAATAGAATAATTTATAATTTGGAATGAAAGAAGGTTGTTGCTATATATTATTAACCTGACCCGACTACTAAATTCTTGGTTCCGCTGCCGGGCAAAGAAGATAAATCCATTCAGTTCATATTCATCGGAGAAGAATTCAATCAAAGAACTCAAAATGGCAAATCATTTGGCACATTTAATTGCTTGCCTGGTTACACCAATTAACAAGGCTATTAGTACTACAACCGAATGCTCTGTCTCTAGTGACTATTAACATATCATGGTGTCTTCATGCCAGCGGCGCAGGCACCAGGCTGCAGAGCAAGGCGGCGAGCAAGGTCACGTTCCGGTCGGCGAGGTTCCTGGCGTACAACGGCGACGCCGGGAAGTCGAGCATGCCCCTCGTGCACCCGTCCATGCCACGGAGCCCGGCCGTGTACCCCGCCTTGAGCTCCGCGGCCCGGTCGTCGTCGTCGTCACAGCCGCCGCCGTCGGCCGCCAGCCGCAGGTCGTCGGCGACGCGCGCCATGGCCACGCGGGCGCTGCCGTAGCCCACCATGCAGTTGCCGAACGCGGCCCTCTCGTCGTCCGCCGGGACCGCGCCGCCGTCCAGCAGCGACGTCGCCGCGGCCACCGTGGCCGCGTACGCGTCCAGCGCGCTGCGCACGGCCACCGCGGCATGGCAGGTGACCGGTAGTGGTACGCGTACGCCGCCCGCGCGAAGCCTGCGGAGGCAGAGCTCGAGCATGTGGCGCGTCCCGGAGACCGCGCTGCACGCCTGCTGCGCCGTCATGGACGGGATGCGAGGGCACCGGCTGCTGCGGCTACCGTCGAGGCCGCCATCTGCGCCGCCGAGGGTGACGATGAGTACCGAGAGGAGGAGGAGGACGAGGAGGGAGAAGAGAGAGTGGTGGATGGTTCTTGCTTTGGCGGCCATGGGCGTGAGAAGCTCTAGGATCGAAGGACGTGTCCTTGGAGTGGCGTGGCCGGAGATAGAGCTGCCGACCGGCGTGTATGTGAAGGGGGATCGAGCGTTTCTTTGGTAGTACGTACGTACGACGCCTGCTGCTTGCTTTGCTTGCGTGGCGAATTAAAACGGATGCATGGCAGCTCAGCTAGGTTGGTGGCGTGCGAGGAATTACAGGTCATGTCATTTTCTTATCATATATATACCTGACGTCCGTTTTATTACGTTAACTAACTTTTGGTTGTGCATTTATGCATGCATGTAGTAAGAAATAGGAGTATAATGAATTACTGCTAAAACAAATCAGAAGTAATTAATGCGTGGATGTGGCAATGATGAGCTAAGCATGTGACTGTGACACACTAGTAAGCTAGGGCTGGACAGAGTGATACATCTGGGTTCGGTTCAGTTAAATTCATTTAAATAATATAAACTAGCTGCTGGGCCCGCTCGCAAGTGTTGATTGGCACGGCTTGAGAAAAGTTAGCTTTTTGCTAGATTAGATAGTCAGTCTATTCGTTTGTTGGTTTTAGCTAGAACTTATCAGTTATGGTATAATATTTTTTTCTTATAATAAACCAGCACTAGCCGGGCTTATCAGCCTAGAAACCCACCAGCGAACAGGCTAAGTGTTTGTTTGGAAGACAATGTGGTATGAAATGGACGGACCATATCATTCCTATTTTATATTTGGTTCGAGGACTTAAAAAAGTTGAACGAGAGACTGACATATGGCCCCATCTGTCAACATTTATTCTTTTTTCTCTTCCTCTTTCCACTTGTACCCACACCTGATAAGGCCTCCGTCCTCCGCCCCATGCCCGCAGATGGGGTGGGGCAATCCTCTTTCTTGCTAATGTTTGGTTTTGAGGCGGCAGATGATAGGTCAATCCTCTTTCTTGCAGAAAAGGTTTTGGGTCGGGGTGGCCTTGTAGCACCTCTACTTCAAAGTCCCTAAACAAGGCCTACGAGGCCACCCCGACCCAAATCCATATCTGCAGATAGCAGATAGCCGCTCGTCGCTGCAGCCCGCGACAGTGCGCCTCCGAGTCCCTAACCGTCAGACATCCTTAAGCGTTTAGCTGTAGATGGTGGTCGGCCCCTTAATTCCGTCGTAGCGAGCCTAGTTTGCCCGACGTAACCGTCTTATGCCGTCGGCCGCCGCGACGGCGCACGCGGGGTTTCTTGGGATCTCCCCGTAGTAAAGGTGAAAACATCCGAGGGTGTGGATGCAAGATTACTGATGGTAGGAATAGTGCACATAGTAGTCGTATTAAACTCTGAAAGCTTAGGGGCTTTTTGGCAAAGCCACCGTCGCGCGCGAGCGCCCCCGGCCTTAGGCCGTACTGGGCCTCCGTAACGCGCGAGCAACCACGCCCGCGCTGGGCCACTGGGCTGCGGGGCCAGAATGGGTTGCTGCCGACCTTTTTCTTTTTCTAATGCATTTTTAATTTAGTTTCTAAGGTAATCTTGTAAATTCAATATAAAATTTTGTAGTTAACCAAAAATTGTGATATCAATTTTGTTTAGTTTCCTAAAATCATGATATATCTACTAGTATATTTTGTTCACATAGTTTTATAATATTTTTAGGAGTTATCTAATTAAATTGAGATGCTTAATATTGTAAGATATAAACTTGTAGGAATTTTTGTGATAAATTGGTAATAGTGTTGGCTCTGACACTTTCACAGTAAATTCCTCACATTATTAGGTGCTCACTGTAATTTTTGTATCTCCATAATAATTAGTTTGCTAAGGTAGCTAAATGAGCCCTAATTCAAAAATATATGTTTAATCAATAAAATGCCGAAACACCTTGGGATTTTAGAACTAAAATATTTTTTCGGAGATAAAGCCTTACTTGACGACGTGGATACGTAGACTAGTACGTTAGTCATTAAAGCTAGCTCATTAGCTTGTGGAGCGTAATCGTATTTTAGAGTTGTAGTTGCCATTGATTATTTACATCTCTGCATTGCATCCACGTATATCATAATAGGAACAACAATGGATCATGGAATTGACCAAAGTAGCGGAAAAGATGGTGTCTTAATGATCGTGTCACCAATGAAATGCTAATCTTTGGTTATATTTTACCTAGGCAAGCCCCGGTGCATAACCCCTATTATTCCAAACTTTATTTTATGCTTGTGCATTAAGTTTTAAGGAGTAGAATAAAAACCACTTGTATATATATAACTTTACCCTATGAGTCCTACTAGTTTGCCAGGATCGTGTAGATTGCTATGCTATAGGATTCGGTAGAAGTCGAGTGATTACCTGTCACTCGTGAGAGATAGAAAAGATATTATTGTTGTTATTATATTACTATCACATGGAATATATATGGAGGATAATTAAAGACCGGGCAAAATGGTACTTTGGATCTGGCCTTGGTTAGGCATTCGAGCGAGCCTCGGATTGCACTTATTTCGCCTGTGTCGATTGAGGACCGTCCGTTGCTATGGATGGTAGTCAGGTCACAGACTTATTATGTTGATCACTTACTTGCTTATGAGAGCGGGAAGGCTCATTGCGCTCTTGTCGTAGGTTCCGGCTCTTTTTGGACCGGCTGATTCGAGGCGGGGAAAGGTGGAGGTCTAAGCACAACGCTGAGACCGGGTCTCAAGTGTGGGGGAGTCAAAGTTTGGACGGAGACCTGGACCCCTCGATAGGAGTGGAATGGGTTGGTCTTGTTTATGCCTAGGGTACAAGCGAGGCTTGTGTTTTAGGGTACCCAGCTGTGATATATTGGTTCACGAATCACTGTTTCTATGAGACGGTACGACTTGGCTATGGTCTAGCACGTAGTAAGAACTGGAACTTGAAAGGTGATAAAATGGTTCTGATTGCTTACCACCTGCTTCAAAGTAGCATAGGTGCTTACATAGAATGGTTACTTAATGAACTAATGATGACTACTAATAAAATTAAATATAAGGATGCACGTTTAGTAATACTTCAGCACATGTAATAATCCACAAGCTAAATAATCCTTGCATATCCTTGGAGTCTTTTATTTTTCTCCTATTGGGTAAGTCTTGCTGAGTACAATCGAGTACTCAGGGTTTTATTCCCCCTGTTGCAGGTGATTGGTGGATACTTAGAGTTGACTATTGTGTGTGGAAACCTCCTAGTGGGCTCAGAGAGGATTCCTTTCATGCTATGACCGTAGTGTTTATTTATAACCCTCACTAAAGGTTTTTATAAGAAAAGATGTAAAATATGCTAGCATCTCTTGTATAAAAATGTTCACTATGTTAATGCTCCACCATGTCATTAAATTAATCTTTGCTTCCTCTATAACTCTGATAACATATTATATTCCGCTGTTATAATCAATTAAGGTAATATTATGTTACTGTAATAAAGTGATGTAAGAAATGACTTAAGAATGTTGTAAGCTGTATTCTCTCATTTATGATCCTGATGGAAAAAATATGGATTTTCGAGTTCTCCCTTAGGGTGTGCTCAACGGAACTGCGTAGTTTAGTGTCCTCTCTTGAGTACTTAATGTCTAATGAAAGACATGTCCTCCTAGGAGGCATCAGATTAGGCGGTTCTGCCATAAGCCTGGCTGGGTGGGTGGCTTGGCTTCGTATGCTCAGGGATGGCCGAGGTGGGCTCGGGTGAGGTGGGCTTCATAAGAGAAGCGAGAAGAGGAAGTCAGACAGCAAGCACAACTTCGATCGAGGTCACACACAGTTCGGTTTAGACAGTTTTATGGTTCGGTTCTGCATAAAAACAAAACACAGAGCCAACAATGGAAGTTCTCAAAACCAAAAACCAAAGCCAAACCAAAAAATCGACTATTCAGTTTGGTTTCAGTTTAGCTCAGTCTGGTTTTTGGTTTTTGGCATAAATGTGCCCACCCTGGCACCCTTGTCTCAAGTCGATGAAGGTGAGCAACGCCATGAATAGGGATATGCCCTTGCCCTTGATTTGGAGGGACAAACGATGCATTTACATAGTATATTTCTTTCAAGGCTTGACCTATCATCTGATCTTTAAGTCAATCATGCTAGTAATGCCTTAGTCATCATGACCATATTGCTGGTAGATGCGCCCTTCATAGATGTCACGCGAGTCATATTGTGCACGATTGACCAGCCCTTGTTCGGGAATTACTGCTGAACTGTGGCTTCGTGCTTCACGTTAGCATGTGGTTCACGCCTACCGTGACCCACGTATCCCTATACTCCTTTCTATACTATTGCTGAACCCTTGCCCTGCAGCCATACTAGTCATTAATGGCCTTGGACACTGCTCACCTCAAGTGCACAAAAATTTTTGGCTAGTTTATTTGTAGTTACCCCGCGTAGGAACCAAAGGTGAACAGCGCCAGGACCACTGACCGCTCTGCCATTACAAGAAGGATCTGGCCTAGCCATTGGTACCACCACTTGGTGCACTCTAGCTTACCTAGCCCTTCCTCTTGAGCAAGCTTTTCGCTCAATCCTTCCATGCAACCACCCGCCAGGGATGGCAGGAGCCTAGGTTAGCAGTTACTGTTTGAACATTGAGGGTTTTCCCAAAATCTGTATGCCACCCTACAAAAACTTAGAATCAAGGATCGTCCTGAGTATGAGGGTCGTAAGTATGAGAAACTTGGCACTGAGCGGTGTGAAGTTACCGTCTATATTAAAAAGAGTGAGGAGTTCCCCGACATCACTAAGGCCTGGAATGTGACCGCAACCGGGTTTTGCTTCGTCAACACCTACCAAGTTGGGGCCCGCAAAGCCTTGCGGTATATTGGATCGTACCCCCATGTGGTTCTTTCCACCTTTGGAAAAGAATCAACGGGTATGGAGGGCTCGCATGGAGGCTTTGCAAGGGCAGGATGCGCAAGAAGACAGTTTAACTGTGGTGCACTTGACCACGTACCTACTTGCTCTGGATGAGCAGTATGACCAGCAAGCCTCGGAGCTGAGGAAGTGCCTCCAATGAGCCGAGGAAGCCGAGATCTT